TATATATATATATATATAGTATATATAGTCGAATGTTGCATTTGTTTCGAAATACGCGGTCCGCGCGCCTGATGATGACGTCACGATTGTTGCGACATGCGCCAGGCTGTCGTTACGTTGGAGTCCACTTGGCAATCTGAAATGTAAGCATTTAAATGTTTTTATTGTTGCAGCAGGGTTCTGTGTTCCGGTCCGACTTATGCTGCCGTAAACTGTCGCCGTCCATCATGACGAATTTTAGTTAGTCTATTTATTACCGGGTTTTTTTCCGTCCATTATCCGGTTAATACAGACTGAGTTTGTACAACACAGAGAAGTATTAACAATTCCGATAATATGTAAAATTTTTACAAAAATAATACATACAAATATCAAAACTTTTAGCTTCTTGTTAAATGATCAAAAATAAATGAGGAGTTTTATCAAAACATTAGGCAATTGCCCTGTGAAATGATCAAAATTTTTTGGGAGTTTTATCAAAACATTAGGCAATTGCAAAATAAAGGCATATCTAAAATTAAAGAGTCATTTCCCACACTTTATTCTCAGGTCCTCCAAATGGAAGTCAAAACCTTGAAAAGTAAGCCTGGCATTAAATTGTGTGGCAAAACATCTTCTTTAGTAAAGTTTAATTCTCTGAGTAACATTCAAACAACATAAGTTTATACATTTTGTTTTTTAATGTTTCTTTTAAAAACAAACTTTATTAAAGTGGCTGTGAGTGTAGTATATATTTTGGTATCTTTATCTTTTGTCCCTACAGATATTCAAAAATGAGAAGGAAAAGAATCAGACCATTTTTGATGGCTTTTGTTCTCACGTTGTTAGTTCTTCACCTGCTTAATGACTTTACTCAGGAGAAAACCATTTGCCTGCCTAACAAGAAAGAGGAGTTTTTCTCAACAACACAACCAACCCATTCCTATGTCTACTCCTGGACAAAGTGCCAAAAAAATACATCAGCTACCAACATCACAGACTTTAACTCTCTTCCTGAAACTATTAAGGACTTTCTTTACTATCGGCACTGTCGCCATTTCCCCATGCTACTGGATGCTCCAAGCAAATGTGGAGGAGCTGAGAAGTCTTCTGATGTTTTCCTGTTGTTGGTCATTAAGAGCTCCCCTGGAAACTATGAACGTAGAGAGGTATTACGCAAAACCTGGGCAAAAGAAAGACCCTACAAAGGTGTTTGGATCCGAAGGATCTTCATCTCAGGAACATCTGAATCCGGTTCTGAAAAAGTGAGACAGAACAGACTACTTGAGCTGGAAAATCAAGAGTACAATGATATTCTTCAGTGGAATTTTGAAGACACATTTTTCAACCTCACCTTAAAGCAGATTCTTTTTTTAGAATGGCTGGAAATATACTGTCCAAATGTTAGTTTTTTGCTTAATGGTGATGATGATGTTTTTGCCAACACAGACAACATGGTCGAGTATCTCCAAAGCCTTCGAGACAATGGAGGAAGAAAGTCCCTTTTTGTTGGTCATTTAATACAGAATGTTGGGCCAATTAGAATACCTGGGAATAAGTATTTTATCCCGAAACAAGTTTATGAATCGGAATCATATCCTCCTTATTGTGGTGGTGGAGGCTTTCTTCTGTCTGGTTATACAGCTTCAGTTATATACAACATGTCTCAGTCCATGTCAGTCATGTCATGTCATGTCAGTCGCACTGTTGAAATGCCATAAATGCACTATTGACTTGTAATACAATGCACTATTACCACCTCATCTGCTGCTAATTATATTATTAAAGTGGATGATTATGACCCTTGCTATTATAAAGAGATTTTGCTTGTGCATCGGTTCCTACCAAGTGACATGTATCTTATGTGGAAAAGAATACATGATCCTAACCTGATATGTGATAAGTCAAAGAAATATCTTTAGCTTTGTGACGTAACTGGATGTTACACATTAACCTAACTGGGTGAGTCTAACCTTAACATATCCACTTACGTCATTGGAAAAAACTTACTGTGAACCTGTGATACTTTTACATGGGGATGTGTGTGGCTAAAGCAGGACTTCGTCCTGTTTCTCACATGGGTGTTAGGACTGCAGGAATGTACATTCCTTCAAGTAAAGTGGATGATTATGACCCTTGCTATTATAAAGAGATTTTGCTTGTGCATCGGTTCCTACCAAGTGACATGTATCTTATGTGGAAAAGAATACATGATCCTAACCTGATATGTGATAAGTCAAAGAAATATCTTTAGCTTTGTGACGTAACTGGATGTTACACATTAACCTAACTGGGTGAGTCTAACCTTAACATATCCACTTACGTCATTGGAAAAAACTTACTGTGAACCTGTGATACTATATGTATCACGAGTGAGAAATGTTTGTATTATAATGGTGTTTTTTAAAGTACTGTCATCAAATTAAAGGGAGCTTCCCAATTGCATTTTTCTTGAATTCTCTATATTTTTTAATTATTCAATATAGCCATATTTCAAACATTGATAGCACCTGTACAGCATCTTTGAATATAATTTTACTATTGTGGATTATGACTGTAGATACTCATGTTGTATATTTGAATGTGTTCTTCCTCTTTGCAGGAATAAGGGCTTGCGACACATGGCTGTTCATCTCCCTAAGGCCAGATCTTATCAAAACAGATTTAAATAGATAAACAGTACAGTAATGCCAGTTTTATTAAATTTGTACTACTGCATTTCTCTTGTTAAATTGGTACTGATGTGATTCACCTCTGAATCATATAAGAAAACCTCTGGGTTTAGATTTAGAATACAAAGCAGGCCCATAAATAACGTATTGTGACTAAGTAATTTCTGATTAAAATGATTTGGATGATAATGGAGGACATTTCCTGCATTACAAGATCCATGATGCAAAACAAGTCTCAGGTGTACTGTCTGCTTCGTCATGAAGCCCCGCCCACTAAGTGAAATTCTCACTTAGGCTAAAAACCACGGGTTACGATCCTGTTGATGACGTAGCAGTGGTCGCGACATGCAGCAAACCACAAAGATAGGAGAGGTACAAAAGGTAAGAGCGTTTTTACTAAAGTCGTTTTTCATCATATATACACAGAATGCCTGAGAGCTCCAGCTGAACCTGTATACTCGTGGTCAAACATGGCGGTTAGTAATTAGCGTCACATTGATTTCACCTGCTAATTAGACCATGGCTAACTTTCAAATTATTCATCCATTAACGCACACAAAGTTTAAACACGTTTTCTCAAAGTCATTGCAACTTTAAAAAACTCCCACTAATGGATAAAACCCATCTGTGATGCATTTAAATTAAAAGCAAGGTGCTCATCGCTGGTTGTTGTGGCTGGACCACATGAAAACCGTGTTCGTTCATTTTAAGTGGACTCCAAAATACGGGTCTAATCAGTTTTACAACAGCACTCATATCTAGATGGAAGTTTCCTTATTCCAAAAATAACTAATGATAATAATATAACATGAAACATGATAACATGATAACATGAAAACCGTGTTCGTTCATTTTAAGTGGACTCCAAAATACGGGTCTAATCAGTTTTACAACAGCACTCATATCTAGATGGAAGTTTCCTTATTCCAAAAATAACTAATGATAATAATAACTAATAAATAAATAACTAAAAATCAATAAATTCGTTCCAGCCCACCAGAAATATACTATTAATCCCCCTGCCCTGTCTAAACATCAAAACCATAGATATAAATGAATATATTGATAATATATGCAGCTGGCAGTATCAGGTTTGTATATCTTGTATGAAATCAACATTCCTCTCTAGGGTTGAAAAAGTTTTCTGTTCATTTCCTCATTGCTAACCTCAGCCATGGAGCATACACTATGTTCTGCCAAGTTCCAGCTTGAGGCAGTGTTATTTCTCGTCACGAAGCATCCCAGAATTAGCCTGGAGGTGCTAATAAATTTGACCACGCCAAACATGGGCCAAAGAGAGGTGCCACAATGGGGTGTGGATTCGCAGGAATTTGCGTGACGGGCACTGGTTTTGCCACATCTTGACAGAATTAATTACTTGAACTGGAGAACAGTACATACAGTACTTCAGTGGGACTTCAAATACACCCTATTATAACCTCACCTTGAAGCAGAGTTCAAAATGTGGAGAAAGAAAAACAAAGAAATAAATCAAGCCGCTTGCAGCAATTTAGGGTTGCCTTTTTCTATTGATGAAATGGCAGAAACTAAAAATTATTACATTATCTCCTGAGGAATGACTGCGTTTCACTGGCCAACAAGTATTTACAGTAAACTTTAACCAATGCAGTGCCTTGTATGTAGAAATAAGTGACTACATTTTAATAGATTCAAGTTATTGACTCGCAGCAACAACAGAGAAAAAGCGTTAATAACTAATTTAATTAATAATATTGAATTCAATTGTAATTTAAAGTAATTGTGAAAGGTAACTTGACTACTGTCCAACACATTACAGAAATTGTAATTGTTGTGGAGCAGAGTACCAGACCTTGGACTAATTACAGCTCTTTATGATGGCAATGAATTATGCCTTTAGTTGACATGGTAAACAAATTGGGAAACACTCAATTTGGGTGCAGCTTCAAGGCTTGAGGATTCTAACTGAGTTATCCTTGATATAACATTTATCAACTTTATTACAGGGAGACAGAGAACAGCAGAGTCACTGGTGACGGCCGTGCTCTTCAGCCTCTTTGTCCTCCTGCATCATTAACTCTTCTACTTTGATTCCCAGGCTGTAGAAACTTGGACGTTCTTCAGAGTTGTACACCCAGCACTGCTTCATCATGTTGTACACCTGGTATCAAAAAATATTTAGTACTGTATTTATTGAAAAGTATGTAACAGTTTATAATACATTTCTGCAAAATATAAGAATCATTCTGAGCTCTATTGTAGCAGTACTGTTGTTCTTAGTGACCTAAGAGTACGGTGTATACCAATATCCTTCCAATGATTCCTCTCATATTTATTACAAATTCAAATTTTTATAAAAGCTTTGAACCCAGTCTGATATCAGAAAATATTTATGATGAGGAAGTAGGTTCATTTTGTGTTCACATTTTTAGAAACTCTGCTAAACTTTACTTTTCTTGCTAATCAAAATTTTGTCAATTTCTTAACTTTGTATAAAGAGTCAGTGCCTGCTGTAACCATGTGCAAATGTTATCTTTCCATAGGAGAGTCTGGAACTTACCATGGGTGGGCAGTTTGGAGGAGCTGGTAGCCTCCAGTTGTTCTTCAGAATGTTGGCCAGATGTAGAGAAATGGATGCTCCCTGCACATTGGGTCCAATTTCTTGCATGCACAACTGAAGTGGTTCATAGTAAGTAACAAAGAATTGGTATAAAATGGAGAGGACACTGTTCTGGTCAGTATATTCTGAGCAAATCTTTAAATATAAAATTATGTAATCCCCATATTGTCTCTTTTTAGAGGGAGGGGGGGGGGCAAAAGTCAAACAAGACTAATTGTATGTGTAATTGTCTTACTCTTTTTGGGTTGCAGGCGTTGTTGCAGTAGGAGAAAAGTTCATGAAGAACCACTCCAAAACTCCAGACATCCGATTTGTGTGAGAATTTGTATTCATTAATGGACTCCGGGGCGTACCTGCATGAGATGAGCAGTAAAATGACATCAGAGCTTTGTTAATATTAAGGCAGAGATGCAGAACAGCAATATTGGCAAAGACAACAACTTCCCAGTCTAAGAGGACAGTGGCATGACAGTTGTAAGTGGAAGATCCTTTGTTAATAAATTGAGGTTGGAGATGCACTCATCAATTTACCTGATGAGTGTATCTTAATCTCTACCATGTTCAGAGCTGCATCCATGACTAGCTGGAATGGTTACATCAGACACTGAAGTGCAAAGTAGGTTTTCCCCATTTGCAAAGCAAGTGTAAACTAATCTTCAGTTAAAACTATGGAACTCAAACTTGTTCTGCTTTTGTAGCATAAACAATTGTCCCACCCACAACAACACACTCAAAGCTGCTTTAAAACTCCGCTGAACATTGTTGTTAACAAAAATGTGATTCTTATGTGACAAAGGACAATTATTATAAAATTATTATTTTCATTTGGGACTGATTTAACGGACGTCTTTGTAAAAAAAGAACAAATGATGATCTCTTAGTGAGAAGAAAAACATCTGCTGGATTTAATATTGATGGGCCACATGAGGCTGTTAGTGTGGGCTATAGTTAATTTTACACATTTACAAGTCGGTTAAAAAAGATAAGTCACTCTACCAGAAGATGGGGCTCTCGCCTGGCTGTGTGATTTTGTAGTACTCCTTGTCAAATGGAATGATTTTGCTCAGACCAAAATCGGTGATTTTCACCAGAACTTCATTTGCTACAAGGATATTCCTGGCTGCGAGGTCTCTGTGCACGTAGCGCAGAGTCTGCAGATACTCCATGCCCTGGTGATGATTGACAGCCACTCAGATGAAAAAAGTTTCATCTCTTATTCGAAAGTGTTCGCAGTTACTACATATACACGTCTTACCTTACAGATCTGGGAAGCAAAGAGCAGCATGCGTCCGGTGTTGACTTTATGTTTGTTATTGTCCATGTAGCCAATGAGGCTGCCGTGGGGCAGGTACTCCATCACCAAACTCATGCTGAGGCGACCTTTGAACAAGAGGCCATTTAAAGATTAGAGTCATTAAGCGCTGTTGTGAAAATGTAGGCTGCATTAGATGATCAACTCTCGTTG